GTAACATGCTCTGATATGAATTCTTCTAAAAATAATTCTGTAAGTCATTAAATTAATATTAAAGTCCAAACTAATTTTAAAGAAGGGAGCCCTTTAGAAATGCCAGGTCTGGCTCACCATTTTTCATTCTCTATCCTAATAACGAAACACATGATCAATAAGTGTTCTTTATATTTGAAACTCACTGAAATCCTTTGCACTAGCTGCATTGGAAGATTGCTTAAGGATCGAGTTGGGTTTTTTTTGGTTTTGCTGTTATTCATAACAAGTTTCCCCTTCACCTAGGACTGATAAAAAAAAGTCTTCTCTACAGAGAATCCCTGAAAAAACTCCCTCCAAAACAGCTCCCATATTCTGTCCTCAAAAAGTAAGGTTAAGGCAAAACTGATTTAGCATGGACTCCTTCAAAATGGCAGCTGTGTCCCATTGTTCCTGCTGGGAATAAATCCCAGCTGCCCTGGCAACCCAAGAACCACAATCTTCCCAGGTAGATTTACTCTTTGAGAAATCATCTTTAATGAAAGCCTGCAACCTTACTAAAAATAAGAGGTGATAGTAGCCATCTATCACATTGGTTCCCAACCCTTTTTTTTTTTTTTTTTTTTTTTGCTGCAACCGTAAACTGGCCATGACCTCTGACCGGCACTGCAGGGGCTGCTGGGAGCGAAGTGCAGTGGTGGTGGTCCGGGGACGGGGGAGCTGCCAATGCCCCCTTCGTGCACAGTGGTCCTGCCCCACCCACCCACTGCTCCTGGGCCACGTGAGTGTGCATGTGCTTGGGCCCTTTGTGACCCTACTGAGGACCCCTCGCAATCCTGATTTGGGTTGCGCCCCAAGGCTGGGAACCAACACTCTATCACCTTTCTTCACAGGAGGGCATTTCTTCAAAAGGAAGAACATCACCACATCTACGCAACAGGGCTAGCGGGGGAAAAGAGCGGATGGTTTGTGTACATGCAGGCGTGAACATGCAGAGTGAGACACGTCGCATCTCCTATTACTCCAAAGGCAGTTTTAACATCATTAAAAAAAATATCAACTACTAACATTGTTTTTGTTTTTCTGGTTCATGGTCACGTAGGAAATTTTTAATAACTTTTTTAAAACTAAGGAAACTCCCCCACAAAAACTACATTAGATAGTAAATGTTGTTCAAGATGTGCTGAGCTCATTGATTTTCATTGATGCTCCTGCACCTCAGAGGCAGGAAACTAGATTCTTTTGGCCTGGAAGATATGCTAGAAGCGTACCTGTGCCCTACGTGAATTTACACCATCCACCTGAGGGCATAAAGAATGGAGCAGACCGAACCTTCTCTCAGTTCCTCTGTCAATGCAGAATCCAGGTGGCATAGGACTCATACGAGGGGAAGGAGAGCAGGCTGTGGAAACCTTGAAGAATGAGAGTTCATGTAAGATAAGAAACCATGCTTTCTTTAAGTGATTGCCTATATGTATTGTACACACAGGCATTATAGACTGGTATTAGTTAAAAACTAAAACTAGTTAAAAATCTTAGTTTTAATATCTACTGAAGTGGGCATCAGTTCTTGAGGGCTCAACCACAGAATAGCGATGGATGACTGTGCAAGTGGGGCAGTTATGACTGGTGGGAAGGGCTCCAATATATACAGGGGGTTCTTACATGAACTAACACCATCAGACATGCATTTAGACACTATGCGAATACATCCTGACCTCTAACAACTCTACCTGCAAACATTACTACCAGTCTATGGGAGATCCTGCTGGGTCTAGTCCTGTTCAGGTAGCACAAAAGTGCCATGACATAGTAAGGGTATGCAATTAGGCTTTCCTCTGATTTAAGTGGGAAGAAAAAAAAAAAAACCAGCCACCTGAAAGGCTGAACCAGCTTGTCTACTGAAAACTGGAGATAAATGCTGGCAAGAACTGGGCAAGGCTCGAGTCACGCTGTCTTTATGAAACATGGCAGAAAGCCTTAAGAACCTGAATTTCTCTTACTCTCCAAGCTCATGTTATAAAGATATCTTTTTAGTAGTCATAACAAGGAAAGCATTGTTAGATGCTCAAAAGCAGGGTGGATTTGATTTAAATCAAATCAATTAAAAAAATCATTATTTAAATCACTGGTCAGGAAGCCTTGATTTAATCATTGTTTTCTACAATTTTTGTTGTTTGATATAACCTTAATACACATTATTCACAACCGAGGTAGATGTACACACTATACATTGACTTATTTTGATTTTTTTCAGATTAATGTTGCAGCTACATCAGAAAATTGAATTATGATTTGGTTATTTTATTTACCAAAAGGTAATTGAAACAGATACTTGTGAAGTCACTGGGGGATGAACTATCCTCCAATTCACAAGATTAATCGTAGATATTTCAGATATATTTTGCCACGCTGTATTAGAAGGACATCAAATGAGCGCTGCAATATTATTAGTTTAAGGCTTTCTTTGCTTTCTTCTAGATTCCTTCTCATCTTTAATTTAATCTCTTTTATAGCCTGGCAAGCCTGCTGCCATGATAGGTATTCCCTTCTACCGTACCATTCTTCACTAGATCTCAAATCAATGGAGAGGCTAGACTCAGAAACTTATCCATAGGCGACACATAGGAGGGGCATGGGAAGGCAAGTGCCCCCCAAAATTGGCCCTTGCTGGCCAGGGAGTGGGGAGTGCTGGCAGCACTTCCAGTTTTGCTGGTGACATTTCTGGTTTGCCACTGGCGCTTGCAGGGTCAGCAATCAGCTGTTGGGGGGACCCCCACATTGGCAATCAGCTGCTGGTGCCCCCCCAGAGCCAGGAGGCACCAGTTACCCATGAACTTATCCCTTCAGACTTCTGGAATAGTCTGCTCAAAACGTTTCTCTTTTGTTTCTCTTGCCCCTCCCTCCTTGCATTTGTCTCCAGATGCCTTCTCCTTGCCCCGATCTGCTCCACCCCCAACAACCCTCTATTTATTTAACTTCTTGAAACTTTGTACTTTTAGAAAGAGGCAAGGACTTGACTACACAAACATGCAGGAGCACAACAGGGCTGATGGGTAGGTAATCAGGTTCATATACTGATGTTAACAAGGATGTTATCCTTGGAGACAAATCCAGTTTGAGAAATGAAACAAAGCATCACCATGATGCTTAATGGGATCTTCTAGACTGAGCACTGAGTCCCACTGGGTAGAGTAGTTTTCTTTAATCTTTACTAATCTATATAGGAGCCTCTGGAAACCCCAGAAGATTGGGC